CATAGCAACAGAAACGTACATTGCACATAGCAACAGAAACGTACATTGCACATAGGAACACACATACATTGCACATAGCAACCAATACGTACATTGCACACAGCAACCAATACGTACATTGCACACAGCAACAGAAACGTACATTGCACATAGCAACAGAAATGTACATTGCACATAGGAACACACGTACATTGCACATAGCAACAGAAACGTACATTGCACATAGGAACACACGTACATTGCACACAGCAACAGAAACATGTACATTGCACATAGCAACTGAAACATGTACATAGCATTCACTGTCTGAAATAGCTGCCTGACTGTTCTCCCAGTTCTAGCCTCAGTCTTCTAGTCTGTATAGTGTTATTGTTTAGAGAATATCCATCAAGCTATGAGGAATTATGAATGGTTTTAATGCCGAGCCTTTGGCGTGGGACATACAGCATCCATTCACAAGGGTAGATCATCTGTGATCTGAGTTTTGAGTAGTTTATTTCTGATTAGAAAACAAAGAAAAAACTTCGTCAACCCTACATCGACACTGAAGGCAGCCCATTGTTGAGATGCCATAACATAATCAGTTTGTGATCTCATATCCTATTGTTCTCAACAATGATTTGGTTGGTTGGTTGGTTTGTTGTTTAACGCCCAACTCAGCAATATTCCAGCTATATGACGGCGGTCTGTAAATAATCGAGTCTGGACCAGACAATCCAGTGATTGACATCATGAGCATCGATCAACGCAATTGGGATCGATGACATGCATCAACCAAGTCAGCGAGCCTGACCCCCTGATCCCGTTAGTTGACTTTACAACAAGCATAGTCACCTTTTATGGCAAGCATGGGTTGCTGAAGACCTATTCTACCCCGGAATCTTCACGGGTCTCTCAACAGTGAAGCACTGTGACATCTTATGGCTTCAGCTGACCAGCGGGGGGTGGTAGGGTAGCCTAGTGGTTAAAGCGTTTGCTCGTCACGCCGAAGACCTGGGTTCGATTCAGGACATGGGTACAATGCGTGAAGCCCATTTCTGGTATCCCCCGCCGTGATATTGCTGGAATATTGCTAAAAGCGGCGTAAAACCATACTCACTCACTCACTCACTCAGCTGACCAGTAAGCATTTAAAATGATAAAAATGGACATGTGCAAATATCAGAAAGTTATTACACATGATCGTTCTACTCTTCTGGATAGTATTCAATATTGTTAGTTTTGGAGAAAATAAATACATAAGACTTCTCAGATGTTTAACGACTATTAAAGAGATTTTCATTTTTGTTGCAAGGTTTGTCAATAAGTGATCCAGTCAACAAACTGATCCTTATTTCATTTATTAACCCAATCAAAGAGCTTTTATACATATGTAGGCATACTTTTTTAAAATAACATGCAAGTTTTCTCGAACTTGTCTGTTCTCTCTGTAGAGCTATCTGTATGTAATCATAATGGCAGCCAACAGCAACAGGGGTTGTGTCAGCAGTTTTGAAAATTCAAACGGCATTATATTTCTTAACTAACAGAGAAGCATTGTTAAGGAATTCAAACTTCAAAACTTTGTATAAAACATTTGTGTTTGACTTTCGCTCATTATAACAATGAAATATTGAGTTAACATGTTTGAAAATATATTTGATATGGTCCCCAGTTTGTACGACAAATTCTCCTTTCAAGCCTTGACATTGCCAGTGACGGGTATCTCTGTCAACAAATGGGATATAATCAATACTTAGTTTGAAAGGAAAGGGTAGTTATACTGCTTACAAATCTATTATGATAAATGTGTTCTTTGGCTGCGAGTCAAGCTCTCTATTGTCAGGAGTTGTGTTCACCATGAATGCAAAATAGCTTTGAGTTGTTCTGTTTGATAACAGTGCGTGATAAGGCTGCTGTTTGCTTGTACCCAAGCTGTCAGGGTATATATGTCTATGACAGGCCTCACATAGGGTATGTGTGGACATTTTGGTGATAGATGTATGTACTATTATATATAACCACTTGCCATTATCAAAGTCTACATGGAATTAATTAAATGTAAATTCACTGCGTTTACTGATGGTAAAAAGTTTGACTAGACCAATAGTCCAGTAGACCACTAGACCACTAGTCCAGTAGACTACTAGTCTGACCACTAGTCTGACCGAGGCGGTCGGGTAGCCTAGCGGTTAAAGCGTTCACTCGTCACACCGAAGACCCGGGTTCGATTCCTGACAGGGGTATAATGTGTGAAGCCTATTTCTGGTGTCCCCCCACCGTGATATTGCTGGAATATTGCTACAAAGCGGCGTAAAACCATACTCACTCACTCACTCACTCACTCACGCACTCACTCACTCGACCACAAGTCCACTAGACCACTAGTCCACTTAAGTCCACTAGACCACTTAAGTACTAGACCACTAAAATGACTCGTGAAAGTATGGAAGGACAACTTGGCACAGTGTTTGAATTTGGAGGGTCCTGGTTCTCAATATTTAATCATTGTTAGAATCCAGGGACCCCCTTAATCTTTATGTTTGAACAATAGGGTTATGACAAGGACCACTTGACCTTCATGCTTAATTCTGAACACTGCTTGGGTGACAACTATCAACAACAAGGCCGCTGTACATGAAGTTTCAGATTTTTTTTTATTTAAAAAAAAAAAAAAATCCAAAGTAAGGAATGTAGTGATTTATTTTCTTCTAAATTGACATTGTTGACAGTGGGATTATGACTTAATGGAGACGGAACATTGCCACTGACCCGTGGACATATGAGTTGTTTTGGCTGAAGGGCTTGTTGTCAACACACCTTGTACTACTATGTACCCCGGTACTTTTGAGTGTATCAACTACCATATTTTTACCATTCAAAATAATGAAGTGATAAACAAAGACTACACCATCATCAGTCGCTCCAGTCATAAAGGATTTGCTCCGGGTTCCTGAATTTCAAAGCAATTTTGTCAAGAAGAAAACGATTAATCAATACGATGTGCAAACAATACGACTAATAACGGACTACTAACTGTAGGCGATTAACACTCAATAACCATGCACCGGTCATGGCCACTGTAATTGCTGGAAATACTTCTACGATCAATAGATTGGGTACTGACAACGATGTGACAATGATTGCTGAATGTTTTGGTTAATTGCTGTAGGTCATAATTACGTTTGTTTGTTTGTTTGTTTGTTGTTTAATGCTGCACTTAGCAATATTCCAGCTATATGATGGCATGCTGTAAATAATTGAGTCTGGACAAAACAATCCAGTGATTAACATCATGAGCATTAATCTACACACTTGTTAAACAATGACATTCATAAACCAAATCAGCGATTCTGACCACCCAATCCCATTAGTTGCTTCTTAAGACAAGCAGGGGTTGCTGAAGACCATTTCTAACCCGGATCTTTACAATCTGTAGGTATATACCGTATTCGACATAATAAGCGCCCAGGGCACTCTCAAAATTAGAATTAGGGGGCTCTTATTAGAATATTTTTTGGGTGAAAAACAACAGAGTTCAAAGAGCGTAAATTTCGTGGTTTATGCTGAAATGTTTATAAACGACAGATATATTTTTTCAGAATTTAATTGCACATAATTAAGGGTGCATATAACAAACGTATTATGCACAAATAAATAGCCTTGTGTACATTTATCAATCGGAAGGTGTGCTAATTGGGATTGTTCACTAGCCAGTATATTAGCAAATATTGCCATGGGCGCTTATTAGAGCAGGGCGCTTATTACGGCGAATATGGTGATCACATCCTTGAGTTTGATGTGAGTGTTAGTCCTTATGTGGGCACAATGTAGAGCTAAATGTAACAGAAATATATGTCACCGAACGTAAATCTTTGATACTTGTGAACTTGAAATGAACGATTTGTTACCTGTGTCAGACACCCATGAAGATCAGGGGTACAAGAGGTCTTCAGCAACCCATGCTTGTTGTAAAAGGCGACTAACGGGATCAGGTGGTCAGGCTTGCTGACTTGGTTGATGCATGTCATTGTACCAAATAACGTGGATCGATGCTCATGATGTCAATCACTGGATTGTCTGGTAACTTGATTATTTACAGACCGCATCATATAGCTGGACTATTTCTTAGTGTGGTGTTAAACAACAAACAAACAAACAAGCCTATGTCAGTAGTAGGGTGTACAAGATTTGAATGTTTACAAGAGTTGAATGTTGTGTACAAACAAACAAACAAACAAACCCTAAGGACCAGTGAAATAAGGTCTACACTAGTCCCCTAGACTTAATCTTAAGAAAACAAATTTCAAAGGCTGATTCATACCATTCTCATGGTGGTCGGTCGCCGAGTCATCTTAGGTGCCAGATTTTGCTGAGCAGAGTTATGTCCCTTGGGCCTGCCAGATTATGTAAACCCAATCTCATTAAAATCAGATTTTAGTTCTCGCTGCAGCTAAACAAAGATCTGAGGACATCCCATTACGGGTCACATCAGACCGACCTTTCGCATACTGTGACTGACCAATGGAATTACTGACAAGAAGTCGACATTAGCCAATCAGAAGGCAGCTTTCTCGTGCTTTACGGCACTAATTTCAAATTGGCGACTACGCTTCGAAACATTTTGACAAATTCTCGCTAAAAGATTTGAAACCTGAACAAAAGAACATTCTGGGATGGCTAATATATGGTCTAGATAGTATAGATTCAGTTGTTAAGCCCATAACTATCGTTCAGAATACCCCGTTTTAAAGTTTTCGAGGCTGCATGATTAGGAATTACATTCCGACTGTCACTTTCATGATCTGGTAGGCGACGCTCTGATTGGTCGGATGAAAGGTCGTACTGACGTGACCCATAATGGGATGTCCTCAGATCTTTGTTTAGCGGTAGCTAGAACTAAGATCTGATTTTAATGAGATTGATGTAAACCTATCAAGCTGAGCCGCCTTGGTATAACTGGAATACTGTTCAAAACAGCATCCGACCCAACTCACTCATGCTCGTTTTTACGTTTACAGCTGGAGGAGGAGAGGCTGGCCACCATCGAGAGAGACAACCGTATTCTCCTGGAGAAGATGTCCTACATCATGAGGACCAGAGGACGAGTGGACAACAGAAACAACTACGAGTACAGGAGGTAAGTAGCGCAGCACCAAGGGTCTGGGTTCGAATCCCACGGGGATAGCCCTCATTCTTGTATGGGTGTGGGGTAAGTGGTTTGACACAGAAACAACTACGAGTACAGGAGGTAAGTAGCGCAGCACCAAGAGTCTGGGTTCGAATCCCACGGGGATAGTCCTCATTCTTGTATGGGTGTTGGGCTAGTGGTTTGACACAGAAACAACTACAAGTACAGGAGGTAAGTAGCACAGCACCAAGGGTCTGGGTTCGAATCCCACGGGGATAGTCCTCATTCTTGTATGGGTGTTGGGTTAGTGGTTTGACACGGAAACAACTACGAGTACAGGAGGTAAGTAGCACAGCACAAAGGGTCTGGGTTCGAATCCCACGGGGATAGTCCTCATTCTTGTATGGGTGTTGGGTTAGTGGTTTGACACGGAAACAACTACGAGTACAGGAGGTAAGTAGCACAGCACCAAGGGTCTGGGTTCGAATCCCACGGGGATAGTCCTCATTCTTGTATGGGTGTTGGGCTAGTGGTTTGAGTGCTTAATGGCCACACCATTGGTACAATGTGTGAATCTCACTCTTCACAGGACAAGTGGTGAAATTGCCATAAGACCATTCTTACTCGTTCATGTTTGTAGGGGCGGTCGGGTAGCCTAGTGGTTAAAGCGTTAGTTCGTCATGCCGAAGACCCGGGTTCGATTCCAGACATGGGCACAATGTGTGAAGCCTATTCCTGGTGTCCACCGCCGTGATATTGCTGGAATATTGCTAAAAGCGATGTACAACTATACTCACTCACTCACACATGTTTGTAAACGAACTTGAGCGGGTATTGGCTGGACACAGAGCAGGACTACTGATCCTGATCTAAGTTAGACCAACTATGGGGACTTGGTCTAAGAGCAATTGGTCTGACTGGTCCAGACTTGATAATGCACATAGATGGAATATGTAGCTCTTCGAACATGCTTTAGGGTGTGGTGGATGATGATGATGATTATTATTATTATTGAAATGTATTGCTAAGGTTTCTAAAGGGACAACTGTATAAAATAAACTTGTGAGAAACAAGCCATTACAACCAACAGCCATTGTATTATATTGCAGAGTGGTTGGTGACAGGATACACATCAATTGATACCACGAGCTTGATGCTTGCACCGAACCTCATTTCCCATTGATTTTCAGCTGTGATCAATGCAATTCAGCCTTAAGTACCTGTAATACAAGGAGATTATTAGCCGAGTCTATGGCCATATCGCAAATATGACATATCATATAATTGCATTATGCGAGCCTTAGAGGCTAAAAGATATCTATTTTCTACTGTGGTCGTGTGTGCTGAATAAGAAGGCATTGATGTATGGAGCTTGAAAATAGTTCCTGCAAAGCAACCTCATTTGCATATTTATTGGATCATGATACCAAGTTTATCGGATTGTTTTTTTCATCGATAACACTAGCCACTATGTGGTCATGGATTTTATTGCTCATAAACAGAAGCCTGATCCTTGTGGAGCGATGAGTGTATCCTGTTAGGATAGTTACAGTATTGTACAGTCGGTGCTTTGACCATGCAACTGTTTTAAGAGTTACCTGCCCTTGCTTTGCAAATTTTCAGAAACATACCTCATGTTCTGAGTGTGGTGCTTTAGAGAAAATGGATCTACACAGTATTTCAGGAGAACCAATCTTGGGGAGACCATTCTAATTTGGATGCCTGTGATGATTTTATAAATACCGTATTCGACGTAATAAGCACCCAGGGCGCTCTCAAAATTAGGAATGGGGCTCTTATTAGAATATTATTTTGGTGAAAAAAACAGAGTTGAAAGATAAATTTCGTGGTTTATGCTGACAGCCTGAAATGTTTATGTACGACAGATATATTTTTCCAGAATTTAATTGCCCATAATTAAGGGTGCATATAACACACGAGTGTGTCTTATACGCGAATAAATAAGTCTTGTGTACATTGATCAATCGGAAGGGGTGCCAGTTGGGATTGTTCACCAGCCAATATATTAGAAAATGTAGCCGTGGCGCTTATTAGAGCGAGGCGCTTAATTATTACGTCGAATACGGTAATGTAATAATGATAGCGTACATCTGCTTGTATGGATCGAACAAATCTTACTTGTTTAGAAGGGGTGTTAAACCAATCAATGACCGACTGATCTAACACTTGATTTCCATTGTTTATTTTGAGTTTTGCTCCTTGTGAAATTGTGGGTATTTAAAATTTTGCAATGGTCACCAGAATAATATCAGGCACCAGATCTCTAGCGTGAATTCTAACATTGAGCTGAGATGTTCCAGTTGGTTAATTCTGTGGGGACCTGAAATTAACAAATAATTTGTTCTGGACAGTATCACAGAAAAATGATTTTGTTTTAAAGCACAAACAGATTCCTTGCTAGACATGCTGGGAGTCCTGATAAAAATGTGTTGAGAAAATAAAAACTTGCTTAGTCCTTCTTTCAAAGATTCCAGAACCCCTTCAACTCCCTCACAACCTCCCTCACAACCTCCCTGCGCTGTCTTCTGATTCTCGGAAATGTTGGAAATTGTTAGGCTTTGTATCATGTCCAACAATATAGGAAAATCTGCATTATACTCATCACACTATCACATGATGTTGTAGTAGCTGTAGTCGGTTGCTATGGTGATAGTACTCCTGATACCCGCCCCTAACAATCCCATCATGCTTTCAGTTTGAACCGAGAGAAGCGTCAGCGGGAGCTACTGCGCGTGACGGAAGAAAACCAGTCGATACTGCGGCGTATCTCAGATCGCGGCGCCGAGTACAGCGCTGACCAGCTTCAGCGGGACTGGGAGGCCAACCAGAGGTTCATGGACAGCATCTCCCGATTCCCCAAGGACTGGTGGGTCAACGACAAGGACAAGGTGAGATGTGGGATGTGTTACATGGGGAAGAGAGTTCAAAGGGAGATGTGGAATTTATCACATGGGGAGGAGAGTACAAAGAGAAATATGGATTTATCACATTGGGCAGAGTACAAGTGGAGATATGGGATTTATCACGTGGGGAAGAGAGTACAAGTGAGGATATGGGATTTATCAGATAGGGAAGAGAGTAGACGTTGAGATATGGGATTTATCACATGGGGAAGAGAGTACAAGTGAGGATATGGGATTTATCACATTGGGCAGAGTACAAGTGGAGATGTGGGATTTATCACGTGGGGAAGAGAGTACAAGTGAGGATATGGGATTTATCAGATAGGGAAGAGAGTAGACGTTGAGATATGGGATTTATCACATGGGGGAGAGAGTACAAGTGAAGATATGGGATTTATCACATGGGGCAAAGAGTACACGTTGAGATATGGGATTTATTACATGGGGAAGAGAGTACAAGTGAGGATATGAGATTTATCACATGGGGAAGAGAGTACAAGTGAAGATATGGGATTTATCACATGGGACAAAGAGTACACGTTGAGATATGGGATTTATTACATGGGGAAGAGAGTACAAGTGAGGATATGGGATTTATCACATAGGGAAGAGAGTACACGTTGAAATATGGGATTTATCACATAGGGAAGAGAGTACAAGTGAGGATATGGGATTTATCACATGGGGGAGAGAGTACAAGTGAAGATATGGACTTTATCATATGGGGCAAAGAGTACACGTTGAGATATGGGATTTATTACATGGGGAAGAGGGTACAAGTGAGGATATGGGATTTATCACATAGGGAAGAGAATACACGTTGAGATGTGGGATGTATCACATGGGAAAGAGAATACACGTTGAGATACAGGATTTATCACTTGGAGAAGAGAGGACAAGGGGAGATATGGGATTTATCACATGGAGTAGAGAGTACAAGGGGACATATGGGATTTATCACATGGAGTAGAGAGGACAAGGGATGATATGGGATTTATCACTGATATTTTTGGTTCACCTGCATTGAGGGTTTGTTAGGGCTTTAAGGTGAGACAAGAGAATTAAATAGGGGATTGGATGGGCACAACAACTGATATATGAGGGTCTCTTGAATTATTTGACTTGAGGGGCACTGTATGTCACAACAGGGGATCATAAGGACACAATGGCTGCCACGTGTGGTAAGTTTTGTTGGGTGACCAAGCTATATTTCACAATGGGGGCACAGGTGGCCCAGTCGTCTAAGGCGCCGCGATTCGCTGTGCAGAGTTGCGTCCCTTGGGCATGCCAGAAACCTGTGATTGTGGGTTCGAATTCCGGTTCGCCCCAATTATGTTTCTAGGTTTGTCAGCACCATACCCGTGCTCGTGGGTTTCACCGAAGTGGTAAACGTCTGAGACATGCATCACTTTTGGCTTTCCTCCCACATTAAGCTGACACGCCGCGATATAACTGGAATACTGTTAAAAGCGGCGTTTAACCCAACTCACTCACTATATTTCACAAAAGTAATCTTAACACGAGGACATACACAACCCTTGACTTCCTGTAAAGCATGAAAATGTTTTCACCTTCCAGAAGAAGAGCAGCCGGAGAAGTAGCGCCGTGTCACAGAGGAACCAGCGCCAGAGGGACAACGAGTCGGTGAAGAGCGACTCCCCACAGGAGGAAGACGAAGATAAGGAGAAAAACGATAACGAGGATAAAGATACTGATCAAGACAAAATGAAGAGCTCAAAAAGCAAGAAAGACTCTAAAAACAAGAAAGAGGCAAAGAAGGAAGCAAAAGATTCTAAAAAGGGAGGGAAGACAGAAGAGGAAACAGAAAAGAAGGACGAAGAGCCTGAAGATAAGGATAAACAAGCAGTTAAAGCATAAAAAATATATATATATTTTATACTGATCTGTGATGAGAATATGATAACCACAGTTAGGGCCACATCTTTATCATTGTAAGCCCCAAATGAGCATTTGTGCAAACAATTGTCAGTTTTTTCGGGAAAAGGTTTGTTTTTCAAAACATGCATGTAAGTTTACATTTCATTTGCTTTCTTTTGATATTTGAATTAGAAATATTCAACCTTTTTGTGTTTTTGATTTGTGTAAAGTGCAAGTTGTCAGTGACTTTTCTCAATTTCATGGGTGTGGGGTTTTACTCAGTGAACGAGTTTCCAGCATGCTCAAGTTGTGAATGCCTGACATTGTATGAGGGAGTTCACGTTATCATTACCTGATCAATGCTTTGCTGAGATTCTATCCTGACTTTTCACTGAAGAGGTGTCAGTTGTAGTTTGCAGGTTTTGACAGGTAGTTCCATCTTCCCGAGGCAAGGGAGTTAACTGACTTTAAAAGTCCAGTTTCCACCCCTGCCAAACTACACTGGTATTATGGACTTACATTTTGGCTGGACTAACAAGTCTATGCATAGTCCAATCAAAATCATGTTACGAAATCGAAATCCGGTTCATAAATTGTCATGCAGATTTCAGTCGATTGCAGGATTTGCAAAGCATTTGCACCGCCAACTCTTCGTCAACAGATATTTTCCAAATCTTTTCATGTTTTGATCAAGGTGCTCACATGATTTGATGCATTTCGCATTTAAGACTCGTTTTATCACAATATAGATCTTGATTATCGATCAGATCGTCTTGACTGGGCGCCGACATTTTGTTTGAAGCAAATGCAATTCATGCGAGAGGTGGAATCTGATTGGTCCATGAGGAGAGGTATAGAAGGGACATAACATAATAGCCATTGGTGGCGCTACGATCGAGCCCAGGAATACCAGCCTAGTTCGGCAAGGGTGGAAACTGGACTTTTAAAGTCAATTAACTCTCTTGCCTCAAGAAGATGAGGTTCATCAGGTTGTCAGTCTTGATGATTCATATGCAAATGACATTTAAATACTTTTTCAACTTACAGGTAATATGCAAAATATGGGAAGTCTCATGAAAGTTGATAATTAAAGAAACAGTTGTCATATTGTTTGGACTGAAGATGCTTTCTTTTCATGACCTGTTTAATTTATTGTTTTTAATTTTCCCGCGATATTGGCAGAATTGGTTTTAATGGTCCTTCGCGAGGGAGGTATGGTGATTGTTTGTGAAAGTCCTTCAGCAGGCAGGACGTAGTGAATATTTGTCATGTGTCCATATGCAAGGAGGACTAATGGTTTGAATCGTGTGTCTGTTATTGTTTGGTGTTGATCTGTGATAATTGTTATATTCTGATAGGCGAGAATAACAAAATGTTTATTTACTCTATATTCCTTGTTAAATACCGTGGCATCTCCAGGTGTGTTGAGGTGATGGGGGCTGATGAGGGTGATGAGGCAGCTCTGTATGTAACCAAGTGTAACCAAGTGTAACTATCTGTATTTGTCATAGATTACAAACAAGAGGTTCACCTTTGTGATCATTGTAAAATGAATGGGACTGTGCTGAAAATTGATTACTTGAAAAACATGAATTGGGATCAAACCCAGAAAATCTTTTGAACTCTCACTGTGTATGAATACTTTAATGCATGCCTTTTTTCCTATCCAAAATTTTAAAAACACATACAATTTGGTTTGGCAAAATGGATAACACACATATGATCCCGTCAGTTCCAAATTATTTTTCCGTGCACCAAATACACGTTCTCCATTGCACAGCAAATCAGAAAGCACCTAATGTTTTTCTCTTAAACAATATGAATAGCACATGTTAGATATAACAAACATTACACTGGTTTCATACAGGGTTGACTCTGGAATGTTTCTGAGGCATAGGCGAGTATTGAATACCTGCATATTAGCCCTGTTATTCTGTATACAAACATTTGGTTTAATTGCCCCAGTCATAATTCAGTCAGCGTAATCAACCAGTCATGCCGCTTGGTCTCGATGATGCTGTAGACAGAGTCACTAGATTGGTTGTCTCTACCGAATTTTTCAATTTCAGTTAAGAATAAAATAAAAAGTTTCTGTCCCTCTTTACATTTTCTTCTATTCTGAATGAAAAAATGAAATATCTGCCCACCTAAACCTTTTTTTATAAGAATATGCCCAGGAAACACACTTTATTTTTTATTCAGTTTTAGATATATGTTATTTGCTCAAATAAACTAAGATCTGTTACAACTGGTGTTAGCCTTTATTGCTCATTATTGTTGCCATGGAAACCTAGCTAGTACATTCAGGTGGTCAGGTTGCTACCTGTACGACTAACGAGGTTGTGCACTGAATAAAGTTGACCTTTATACTTTGCAGAAGCAGTGTGATGTTATTTATATTGTTATTTCTTTGTGGCGTAATTTTATTAATATTGTTATTTCCAACAATGAAGCAGTGATATGTTGACACATGTTTCTATATGACAGGAGTCCACAAGCTTTTATACAGGATGATTAAACAAATTGGTTGTATGTAATATTTTATTGTAGCTCTGAAAATACGCCATGAAAATCAACATGATAATTGTACAATTTTATATTTTGATATTTACGCACTTACGCTCTTGTGTGCCTTAAAGATGTATAGTACTGTATTCTTTATTCTTAGTGGCCAAAGATTGGCAGAAAGAGCAACTGAATAAATCTTTAATACTGAGTTTATATAGATGTTTGAACCAATACAGTTTTATCGTTATGCATATAGGATATTATGTAAGAATTTAATAATTGTTTTTAGGTGAAGGGGCGCATTGAAATATATGCTCAACTTTGGTTTGGGGGCATTTATTATTTTATGGCGCTAAAAGGAAAACAAAAGTATTTCATAAATATTATTTAAATTAAAATATGTCATATATTTCTGATGATTTAAGATGTTGAATAATATGTTATATCCAAGTGTACAACTTATATTCACCGCATCGGAAGAAGTCGCTCTGTTATACCAATGTGTGTATAACTTATATTCACCGCATCAGAAGAAGTCGCCTGTGATGGTATTTGTTTACAGTTGTTTGTTAGTTTGTTTATCACCATCGTGTGACGGATAATCCCTCTACCCATGACAGCCAGCCTCCAAGGATGCTTAATCACGGAACCAACATCCGCAACAGTTTGTGATTTCAGTGAATGGAGCGTTAAGTGTTCGTATCAATTATTCAGAATTCATTAGCATCTGTGACTGTATACAACACCAATGTTATGTCAATAATTCAGTGTGTTGTGTATGATGTCCAGGACTTAATGGGAAGACTAAAATATCATGTCAATTATTCACTCATTCTTTAGACTGGTGTAGCTGTTGAACTCCTTTTGAAATTAAAAGCTTTCAAGGGAGTTGATGTTTGGAAGCTTTTGTGTTGATACGGAGGAGTGTTGTCTGGTTAAAAGTTGATGTATTGAGAATGACATTGGTAGCTATACCATATTCAACACTGACAGTTTAACAGCGGAATATGAGGCTTGAGTGCCGTGGGAATATCTCCTTTCCCCCATCACGAGATGAGAGAAGCATGATATTTCATGAGACACATGGAATATCCTATTATATTATTTTTCTGTAGTTGTCTACCGAAAAATTACTTTTTTCCATTACAAATATAAAACTTTAAAATGTTAATTCTCCCTACCTAACACGCAGGGACGTTTCACCACCCTTGTCACCAAAATTCTTCATCAGACATTTGGATATGATTATACACAAAATTGACTTTAAGAAAACATCCTTAAAGGCTACGAGACTGTTGTTGAAAGCAAAGGAATACATGCAAGTCAAGTATCAAAAATGGCGCTTTGCGAAACAAACAGCTTGAGTACTGTGTTGCTACAATACACGCAGACCAAGGGGGAGAACTCAGCCCATGTGAGTCACACGTCCAGGGGGGCGGTCGGGTAGCCTAGTGGTTAAAGCGTTCGCTCGTCACGCCGAAAAACCTGGGTTCAATTCCGACATGGGTACAATGTGTGAAGCCCATTTCTGGTGACCCCTGCCGTGATATTGCTGGAATATTGCTAAAAGCGGCGTAAAACCTCGCTCACTCACTCACTCACACATCCAGGGATGCAAACTGGTACTAGTCCGAGTCAGTTCGTCTGTTCGAAGAGTTCCCTGTAAAATGTCAAACATTTTAGGGTGTGTCCTTCTATGTTGTGACTATTCAGGCTCGTAAATGTTTCAGATTAATTTGCCTGTTCATAAATACTGTTCAAGATGGCAATAATTAAACTCACTCACTCACTCAAAGCCCCTGCCTGGAAGTGGTTCATGATCAACAAGGGTCCTAGGTGGTGGTGAGGTAGCACAGTGGTTACAGCGTTTGCTCATCACACGAAGGTCTGGGTTCGATTCCCACATGGGAACAATGATTATTGTATTGTATCATCACATTACGTGTATCCGTACAGCCCTAACAATGTATCCTTGGCCTTATATCAGAGTAACCTCGTAACAGAAGGAACTATGATGCTATTTATTTACCGCCAGTATTATGATGTGACAGTAGAACCCCACAACGACCTCTGTGATTACATACATCTCCAGTCCTAAAGGGTAAACCGTGCACTGAACCATGCCATACATTCCTAATAGGAAATTTCCTAATATATTTAATTCCTAATAGGAAATCTCCTGACATTTTACATTCCTAATACACATTCCTAGTACCAAATGTCCTTTAACTATATATGCCTAATACAATGCATTCCTAACACTAAACATTCCTAATACTTGTACTGTACATTCCTTATACACATTCCTAGTACCAAATGTCCTTTAACTATATATGCCTAATACAATGCATTCCTAACACTATGCATTCCTAACACTAAACATTCCTAATACTTGTACTATACATTCCTTATACACATTCCTATGGAAATTTTTTATCCACATTATATGTGATGGTTAGAGATCCATTCATTAAAAAGACAAAACATATATATTTATATCCTTCGAGTCTATGTGTATGCATCAGTATTAAACAATTTAAAAGTCAGAATCTACAAGTTTTCTGTCCTTACTTTTCTATACTCCGTCATAAATCATTGTGTCATTGTGTCAAGCCTCATCGTTTTTTGACAGAAAGAAAGTTTGTAAGTAAACCAGCAAAACACTTCATTATGAACACTTTTTTTTCATCTTACAAACAAACAAACAAACAAACAAAGAAAATAAACAATAACAGGAGCTGCCTGCCCTAAAACGTGAAGAAACAAACAAACAACTCCCTTTAAACAACTGTCCTGTTTAGACCAGGAGAGTCTGTGCCGGAAAGGGGA